AAAATTCTGTCTTGCATTCAATCTGCTCCTCCCCACCAAAGCCCAGCAGGCATTTCAAAGGGGATCCTACATTTCAAAGTCTCCAAGAAGTCACCAATACTATCTGTTCCCTTTCTCACCAGGAAAAAGGAAGAGAAAAAACCCTCTGGGAATGTTTTTACTTCAGCTTGTTTTCAGCTTTGCTTCAATGTCACTGAAATGTCAAGACATTGAAACAAAGTGTGAAAGCTCCCTTCAAGGCCTTCTGCAAGAGAGAAGTTTATTTCACAAAGGTATTTGTGTGTGTGTGTGTGTGTGTGTGTGGTGTGTGTGCGTGTGTGTGTGTGTGTGAGAGAGTGTGTGTGTGTGTGCGTGTGTGTGTGTGTGTGGTGTGTGTGTGTATCTGTGTGTGTGTGCGTGCGTGCGTGCGTGTGTGCGTGCGTGCGTGTGTGTGTGTGTGCGTGTGTGTGTGTGTGGTGTGTGTGTGTGTGGTGTGTGTGCGTGTGTGTGTGTATTTGTGTGTGTGTGTGCGTGCGTGCGTGTGTGTGTGTGCGTGCGTGCGTGCGTGCGTGCGTGTGTGTGTGTGTGTGTGTGTGTGTGTGTGTGCGTGTGTGTGTGTGTGTGTGGTGTGTGTGCGTGTGTGTGTGTGTGTGTGTGGTGTGTGTGCGTGTGTGTGTGTGCGTGCGTGCGTGCGTGTGTGTGTGTGTGTGTGTGTGTGTGTGTGTGTGTGTGTGTGTGAATTCATGGAAGTCGGAAGTCAATTCCAGGTGCTTTCTTACCTTGCTTGTATTGAGGCAAGGTTTCTCATTGAACCTGGAGCTTTTATCAACTGGCTAGACTAGCTGCCTAGTGAGCCCACTGGATCCTCCAGGCTCTGCTTCCCACCACTGACATTACAGGCATGCATCCTCATCCCTGCATTTTTACATGCATGCTGGGTATCTGAGCTCAGATCCTCATGCTTCATGATCATGCAGCAGGAACTTTACCCACTGAGAAATTCCCCAGCCCTGTGACCCTATTTTCTGGGCTGTTTCAGGAGGTTATGACCTCTAGAAGCAGGGTCTCCCTGGAGAAAGAGGGTCACTGGAGGAAACAGCTTTTGAAGGTTAGAGATTAACCCTGCTTGCGGCCCAAGCTCTCTGCTTCCTGGTTAATCAGGATGTGAGGAGTCCTCACCACAAGCTTCTTCCACCATGAATGCCGCCATGCTTTTCCTGCCATGGTGAACTGTATAACCTCTTAAATCCTGAGCCAAAATAAACTCTGCCTTCCTTATATTACTTCTGTCAGCTGTTTGCTCGGTAGCAATGAAATTAAGTAATAAAAGAAAAAGCAGGAAAGGCTTTGCCATGGTAGAGATGACAAGACTTCCTACTGAATTTGTCATGGAGACAGAATAAAGGACAAAAGTGTAGAATGACTCCAAAGACGTTGGCTACAGAGCCTGAGAAGTTGTATCTGTCACTTAGCAAGTTGCAAGCCCAGGGAAGTAAAGACTGGCAAGGAGATGGGGTAGTGTGATGGCTAACATTATGCTTTAAGTTTCAATTACTGTGCTTAAGAGTACTACACAATAAAAATGCCTGTGACCTCTGAGCTCCACTTCCCCAAGGGCAGAAAACTTCCTAGAATGCTAGAGCTGTTGTTTGTATAAGATAACAAGCCATGTGTTTTCACTTCTATAAACAAGCTTGCTTGCCCCAGTTGCACAGGATGTGTTTGATCACACATAGGCAGTAAGTTCGTAAGCAGCCATACATCAGGGTGTACGTATGCCTCTGACTGCATGCAGACAGGAAGTACACAGTCGTGTGAGTTTGCCTTTACAAGCCCCTGACTAATGTAATTCAGGGCCATAATCTGAGCATGAGCCTGGGTTATGGACCTGGCCAGTGTCCATGTTCATGGCCAGTATTTAAGAAAATCTTTTAGTTATTAAAATTTACTCATGGTCAGACTAGCAAATCTCTGAAGGAACTCAGACCCATAACCATAGTTTGGTAATTGGGGGGTTGGTTTGAATGCATGAAGTGTGTATGTCACTACACAAATATCATTGACTATGTTTCGCTTCACCTAAAATTAATGAAATTAAGGACACAGTTGCACTTATCCCAAGATCATAGATTCCCTCTGTTGTTGAATCACCTGAGTTGATATCATCAAGCTTACTTGGACATTTTAACTTCTGCTTCATACCTCAATGCCTACCTGGAAAACTAGGAAGTGCCCCTAAAGAAAGAGTAAAGCCTTGTAATAGGTGTCTACAAATGGCAGAAACTTACAAATATCTCAAAAGAGGCCATTGACATCATAAAGCTTTCTTCAACCCAGTGATCCATAACTGCCTGCCACCTTGCTCAGAGTAGAAAGTCTATTTTAAATAACATTTCTGGACTGGGTATGTGTTAGAGTGCTTGCCTAGCAGGTAGGAAGTCCAAGATTCCATCCCAACACCACTCACTCACTAACTAGAGAAACATATAAGCAAGCAAGCAAATGAACAGTTTGTACATACGTGTGTGTGTGTGTGTGTGTGTGTGTGTGTGTGTGTGTGTGTGGTATATGTGCATGTGTGTAAGCATGTCCTTGTGTATTTGGGTGAATGTGTGTGTGAAAGGACAAGGTTCACATGTGTAGTCTTCCTCAATCACTCTTCACCTGAGCTCAGAACTTACCAATATAGTCTAGCTAGCCAATCTGCTCCAAAGATTCTCTGTCTTTGCCTTCTCAGACTGGAATTATAAAAGGGCCACCATATCCATGGGACATTTATATGGTTTCTGGGGATCCAAACGGTTCTCATCATATTTGCATGACAAGTGGTTTATCCACAGAACTCTGTCTCCAGACCATCAACAAATATCTTAAACTTCTTCCTAAATGAGCATGATCACAGATGCCTATAATCTCAGTAAACAGAAGGTTAGGACAGAAAGATTACATGCTATTTTAGCTATATTCTTCAACATCTAATTTAAGCAAAAGAATATTTGTTTATACTTTTTCTCAACAGATACATTTCATTTGATTCAACTTCAAATAGTAATGGAATCTCTCTTTGAAATCATTTGAGTAAAAGCACAAGAGTGATTTTAAAAAGCAAGAGCAGATAACACATGGCTAATAGCAGTGGGTTTTACAGCCTTGAGATAAAAAAAGTAGTGTCCCAGCTTAACCAGGGCATCTCTCACTACTGCAGATGGGAGCTGAGGCTTCTGGAGTGGGCAGTTCTGAGTTCTCTGTGTCTATGTGGAGTCATCCAAGATCATAGACTTGGAAGAGGGCTTTGAAATACACCTCCAGTGCAATCTCTGAATTTTAATGGTCCAGCTGACACTCCATTGAATAAGTCAATGTCACAGCCTCTGCTCAGTCAAAACCACTTTTCTCCCTAATGTCAAGGCTAAAAAAATGGAATCACCTGTCAACTATCCTGTAAACTCCATCCCATCTGCACATATCACCTACTGTTTATATATGTAGTATCCTTTTGTGCCATTTAATATCAGGGTCCCCCACCAGAGCCTATGCCCCCCACAGCAGTTCCCTGGCTCTTCTGTCCACTATGGAATGTATTGAAGTTCCAAGTTCTTGGCTGGTGCAGACTGTATGTTTGATGAATAGATGAGTGAATGAATGATAACTGTGCTATTTTACACACATGAGTTACAAGAGTTACCACTGAAGCAAACACTCTGGAGGATGCTAAGTGTCATTGACCAAAACTAGTTCTTACATTTGATTCTTGTGTTTATTTCATCAGGCATCAACATTAGTGAAGATATTCAAAACTTTGAAAAGCACTAAAGGAAGCGTCAATATCTCCCACTCAAAAAGAAGAAAAATAATTGAAGCAGGTACAGAACCCTTCATGAATGAGCCAGACCCAGAAAGTGAGCAACAGGCTTTTTACCTACAATGAGGCAAAACTGATTTGTAATTCTTTCTTTGGATTTGCATACAAGGGAGCTGAGGATGATCTCACAGGTACCTACAATCTAAACACTCAAGAGGCTGAGACAGGGGGACTACAAGATTGAGACCTGTCTGGGCTTATATACAGCAAGATTATGTCTTGGAAAAAGCATGTAAAAAAAGGAAATCCTCAGTTCCCAACAAATCATCTAGCAATCTAAAGCCAGACTGAGTTTACAGTTCAATTATAAAGAGTATGACTGACTATATGTTCATTAATGTGTCATTGTCATGAATACACACAATGACTTGATAACAAGAGCTGTCCTTGGAAATGATACTTATTTACCCCAAGTATTAAACTACTTAACTTCAAACTCCTACCTAGCAACTTCAGCAGTCTGATCTTTCACAAGAAAATGCATAGTATTTGAGTTCTCTCTTTGCCTTTCCAATGCACTGAGTCTTGTTATTAATAACAGCTTCATCAGCTGCAGCCGCCATGTAACATTCTAATGGATTTCACTGAAAGTTCTAGAAGCAATCCATTAGCTTGGATGCAGAAAATAAAAAGCACAGGAAAAGGGGTCGAGTTTGCAATAAAGTGATGACTATTAATACCAACAGTATTTTCTACTTTAAAAAAGAAATCTTGAATCCCAAGTGTTACATGCCATTTCTTTCTGACAAGTTCTAACTCAATAAATATATATCAGTATTTAAACACACAGCAATTTATAGCAATCTCTTACCCACTCAAGTGTTAATGTGAGATTAATATTTCCCCCAATGGAATTTATACAGAAACTACACAGACTCTGGTGTCTACTAAAACTGTGAATATCCATGACGTACACTCCAGTCATGCACTTCTGTAGCAAATCCCAGGACATTTTTGTTGACACAGATCCATTCCATGGACAACAGTAAAGCATGCAAAACTCCAAATTAGTAACTTTAAGTAAAATATTCTTAACTTTGCAAACTTAGAATTAAAAATTCAATTACACCCAAGCTGTTTGTAAAGGTGAAAGTGTGTAAAGGCCACTCCAGTACACATCTGAGGGGTGAGTTAATTTTAAACAGCTGCGGTTTGATACCTCCTTCGTCAGATGGTCTTGTCACCTCACTGCAGCATGAAAAGCTAGGGTAGAGCTCAGAGATCTCTGACTTGTCATCTCCCAGACCTGTACCAAAAGTGCTGCTTGAATGAGAGCGAGACAGGTGTCTCTGGTACTGACTCGCCTTTTCTACATCGGAGGGAGAACATTCAGACACGTGAATGAGTGACAGAGACAACAAACAGTGCTTCACAGGAAAGCAAAACAATCCCCAATTAAATACTAACCCCTAATCTCTGCTACTCTAAGGTTCTGGTCAACCATCCCCAGACTTAACATGGACTACATCGCACACACAGGACCTAAAAGACATTCCTTCTCATTCAGTCTGTTGAGTTTGTTTCTTTTTAAGAGACATAAGGGATAGGAGATGAACAATAACTAGGCAAACATCACAAAAGTAAAAAAAAAAGTTTGAAAGTGAACATCTGCTTTAAATACTTGCTTTCAAGTAGCCCTGCATACAGTTCTCATATTTTGTTTCTTTTGAGACTGAAATTAGATAGTAATTTTCAGAGTAGAGTATATTTGCTAAACATGGCTTAAAAGTCCAAATGTTTAGCCATGCTGTAACTATACCAAATCATTCATCTTCCCCTTTTAATGACAGACATGTCATCCAAGCTAACAGTCAAATAAGCCTCCATAGGAACTACCCATTTTTTATTGTATAAAAATTCAGAGATAAATGCTAAACACCTGAAGCTTTAATTGGAGAGCATGCATGATGCTGTAGAGAAACCTCACTGTTGTTCTATGTGTAACTTTTGAAACCTGACTCTAAAATGCTATAATACTCATTTTTATGAAACAAATATCCTTTCTATCTCAGAAGCCCTTTGCAATCCAAATAACTAGATCTGCAGTCCCAGAAAGCCTATAGAATCATATTTGCCAATGAAAGGCAAATGTAAGTATGCTCTAGACACCGTTTTAAGTGAATCTAGGACAAACAAATGTAGGATTCATTTACAAGTTTCTTGGTAAGCTTTGTTTTCATAAATAACTAATGCTATTTTAAAGTGACATAATACATTTTTGGGGTTTTCTGAATCTTCAGCTTTCAATTTCCATGGCATATTTGCCACAGTGCAAGTCTATAATTCATCATCATTAACATTCATGACAAAACCCAGGGAAACAGAGAGGAACTCAAACAATACCAGAGAGCATATGGAGACTTCTAGACTGAATATTGTCCTCCAGGGGGTCAATGTCGAAGATGGAGCCAGGATCTGTGCGCCACACTTTGAGGTCTTTCATCAAAAGGAAGAAACCAAGAGATCAAGAGGGGACTTTGACAATTCAGCATGGAAGTCAGTCGAGAAAAGGCAGCACGCTAAAAGTGACCCAGTGCACTTCTGAGCCCAGACAACAACAGGGCGTGGGGTGAGGGGTGTCACTTTCATATGTAGCTACCAAGGAACCAAGGAAAGCTTGGCATCAATTTGAGCACCCTGGTTTCTTCACAGCCCAGAACAGGCATTTCCATGAAGCAATATGACACAGCCCAAGGCAGGTTCACATATGACTGCCTCATTCAGTCCTACAGCATCCCAAACCTCTGTACTTTGGTGCTTCCCCCAAGAACAGTGACATGATTTAATGTTCCTGCCTAAGGACACCTGAGTATTCATGGGAAATGACAGGAATGGTTTTATTTAAAACTGTTCTCTCTGTATAACAGAAAAGAATGTTGGGAATGTAGACAAGTGGTAGGTTCAGTTTTCATTGCAAGACTAGGATCTATGGGAACAAATAAAGCCATGTAGGACACATTTATCACCAATTCTGAAGAAAGATTCCAACAAGGAACCATTAGGGATAGGGTCATGGAGGCATGAATAAACATGGCTTCTGCCCTCAATGAACCAAAACTTAGTTTACTTCTGTGTTTAGAGGGCACATTGCCATAGTTTATATTTCAAGTGTCTCCCAAAGGTCCATGTATTGAAGACTGCTTCACAAGCCTGCCACATTATTCAAAGCTTTAGAAATGTTAAGACACCTCTCACTGGTGAGAGGAGTTAGGTAAGTGGGGAGTTCCCTCTAAGAAGATCTTGGACAAGCCCACCCAAGTCTCCATTGTTTCCCAGTGGCTATCTTCCTCTGTCACACACTCTGATGGCACTGTACTTCATTGCCACTGCCACAGATCCAAAAGCAACAGAGTCAAATGACAGTAGGCTAAAACCTCATGCTGTCAGCAAAATGAACACAGTCCTCTTTTAAGTTGATTTCTCAGGTACTTTGTCACATCTGACTAATAAACATGGAGGCCAATGTGCCCTTCTTATATTGCAGCTGCAGGCAAAGTTCAAATTATAGAATTTCTGAATGTATTTGATGTTCCAATGGTTGGAACTAAGAGTGCTGTCCAGTGATAAACAACTGGGAAGTAGGTGCCTGGTTATGGGAGAAAGGAGGTGAAGCTAAAGTAACAGTTAGCAAAGACTTTCTTATCTGTTATACACTGTGGAGTATATACAAGCACTGTTTTCTGTTAGGACCTAACTCATTTAAGCATCCTATATGCTACTCTAGGCACTGCTGTTGTTGTCATTTCATAGGTAAGGAACTGAGGCTCAGATTGGTTGGATAGCTCTGAGGAGTTCATCCAACCAGTAAGCAGTAGAGTTACACAACAAAAATAGGGCCAGCACCAACTGTCTTGATCTGCAAATCTATGAACTTGTATTTCCATGCATGGTGTATACCCTGGCTCACTGGGAAGTTTAGTGTTAGTCAAATGTATTTCATTTTATGACTTTATAAGCAAGTCTTCATGGACACTGATTTTTTTCCCCATAAGAAGAAACTGACTCCTAGATAGCCCACTGAATAAATACTTTTTAGTTTTAAATCTATATTTTAAAAGTAGTGATAACTGCTATTGAAAATACTATAAATAATAACTCTGAGAGGCCTGTCTAGACAGTTTCATCATTTTTAGCAATGATTTCACCGTCATTCCTGGTCCCTGATCTTTGTAAGACCCCAGGGTGAGATGAATCACACCACTCCGTCCTGTGAGTTATTAGCACAAATCAATGAAACTCCCCACTTCTGCATCACTTTTACTGAAAACCTCACAATTCATCCATCCATCTTACTATGGCCCCTTTAAGTAATCAACCTGGGAAAATGAGTAAAGCTATCAATAGCCTCCAAATAGGTCTGGAGAGTTTCTTTGGAAAATACTTTGCTTGGTGATGATCCAAGTCGCTCAGGGCCCTAGTGTTAGCACTCTCTCTTTAGACTAAAATGTTACTGTGTCAAATGCACGCTTCCCCACCCAACTCACCTCTCCACGCCCTCTCACAGCTGTAACTCTCAGACAGAGCTCTTCCCCTTGGGAGGAAGGTAACCTAACAAAGAGGTTCCCGAGAAGTAGAAGCCATGGTTGCCAAAACCTCTCTGACTGTGATAGCTTGGACAGACTGGCAATTTGACAGAATCTAAAGCCTCTGAGGAGGCAAATCTCTGGACACACCTGTGAGGGGTTATCTTGAATAGGTTAAGGTGGGAAGACCCATCCTAAATGCAGCTGGCACCATTTTATGAGGCGTGCCCCTGGAGTGTATAAAGGGGAGAAAGTGAGCTGAGCACAAGTGTTCATCACTCACTGCTTCCTAGTCATTAATACAATGGCCCTCAAGCTGCTCCCACCATAACTTCACTGGACAGACTGAGCCCTCAAACTGTGAACCAAAATAACTCCTTAGTCTGTGTGTGTGTGTGTGTGTGGGTGGGTGTGGGTGTGGGTGTGGGTGTGTGTGTCATACCAATGGTTAATGTAACTACACAGTGAGCAATACAGTTGGAATAAGTATAAAAATTTGGAGACTAACTACAGCAAAGGAAACAAGGTTCAGAGTTTCCTTTCCAGCCTGCTTATACTTCAGTCTGACTTCTGCTGATATCTCAAGTCATATCCCCTAAGATTTTGCTGAATAGAGTGCAAGAAAAAGACACAATAAAAAGAGGGCTCCCTTCTAAATAACCAGGCTTTCTAGCGGCTCCCCCCCCCAAATATCCTAGTTCAGAACCACAAAACCACAAATTATTCATGCTACAGAATACCATCGGACTCTTTGTTTAATGACAAAAAGGCACAATTGGGAAAAGACTCTTCTGTCTCCCATGTACATGATGTCTATGGTGTACCACTTTCAGCAAGCAAGTACACCCGCTAAAGGAAGCAGGATGTTCAACCATTATAATCGCTGCTCTCTGGGATGGTGCTGTTTAACAAGGAGATATTAAACAGAACTTTCAAGAATAGGAAGTACTGGCAATACTATTACATGAATTTCCTGGATCCCTTTCAGCACAGTGCCAGAGCATTCTACCTGTGATCAAGTTGGAATTTACATCAAATCTGTGAGACCAGATGAACACAGAAATAAGTTCTAGAAGTGGCCATAGTCTTTTGACCATGCATATCCATGAGAAGACCCCACACTTACCAACGATGATCCCAGGTCTCCGGTCCATCTCCACGACATGAGGCTGGACACCTTTATAGGCAGCATCACTCACAACCTGGGTGTTCTTCCTCGCACGCTCCATCACAGGGTCGTCCACAACGGGAGTGAAGCCTCTCCCCTTGGTCTTCTCAAAATCTTCATGATATTTAACCTGAAAAAAGAAAAAGAATTAATTCAAACAGAAATTCCTGATTGTCTCATAAAACTTTCATAAAACGATAGATCACATAAAGTGCACCTGAGCTGTTACATATAATAAATATAATATGTTTGCCCAAGTACTCCAAAAGCAGTATCAGAAATCATTCACCAATAATTTTATATTTTTAAATACTATAAAGAGCATCTCCTTTAAATGATATGGAAACCTGTATATTAGTAAGGTATAAAAGACAATTACTTTAAAACATTAGTTACTTCCTGAAACACAATTTGACTACAAATTGATTTCCTATCTTTTACCTGCAATACACAATAGTGGTAAGTTATTTGATCATAATTCTTTAAGATGACAGTGCTACTTAAAATTAGATTAAGAAAGTTGCATATATTGTGTAAAATTTTCACATATAATTATAAAAATGTGTATATTATAAGACATACATTCTTTTCATATTCTGAAATGCAAAGAAGGAAATAATTATAACATTTAAATTGTACTAGCTTAAACTAAACACATTAAATGGGTGAACTTTATGGTAAAAAAATTTGACACAAAACTGCTTTTGAAATACAATAAAAATATTCTTAATAATATGCAAGTTTACCAAAACAGGCCTTAAAAGTAAGTAAAAAATAAAGTCTAGATAAATGTCATTCACAAATATATTTATGGTAATCAAGTTAGAAATAAAAACACACCAAAATAATTGAGGGGAAATAACTTTATTAGAATAAACATTTTCATTACATTTCCATGTAATTATAACACTGTGTCTCCCATTCACAATCCCATGCTTTGTTAGTTGTCCAGATTAATAGTGAACCAATGCCATCCAGGTCTTGCCATTCCTTAGTATGTTTTAGTCATGGACACAATGATCTGTCACATCCTACCATGGAAGCATGATTTTGTGCTTCTTTAACATGTCTCAAAGCAGGTGTATCTAAGATCAGACATGGTCTACCTTTCATTTGTTTGTGGTCCTGAGTGTATTTCACCTGCAAAATAAACATCAGACATCCATGAAACTGGATACCTATAATCAAAAAACTGCAGACATCCATGAAACTAGATACCTATAATCTAAAAACTGCATGATACTGTAAAACTTTTCAAATGGGTGAATCATGTGCAACATATCCAAAATTATTTCTCAGGTAACTTTTCTTTCAGAGGATTACATTTTATTTCAGATTAGTCACTTGAAATTATACTTGATGATTTCCATTAAAATTATTGTATAAAGGACTTAAGACTGTTGGCAGAAAATAAGTATGTATGCCCAACAGTCAGTAATAACTACCAGTGAACCCAGATCGCACATTTGAACAGAGCAGATACAACATTGACTAGAATGAGAATGTATTTTCTGTGGCTAAGCAATTTTTTGCTATGAGAGTGCTGAGGGAGGCACACGAGACCTCTTCTGATTTTCTTTATTTTTTTCCCTCTCTAGAGAATGAGGAACAGATCTATGTTTTATTCTGGGCAGCTATAGTTTAAAGACAATTGATGTTGAATATGCCCAATCTCTCTGGGCAGGACTGCTATGATAGAGCTGTCAATTATGAATCCCATGTGCTGCCCCAGGCATGGAGATCTGCTGTGTATACAGTGAACTGGGCCCAACACTCATATCTGTGGGCATTTGAAGGATTTCTGCAGTGGAGCCCTGGAGCCCTGGAATTCTCTATAGTAATGTGTACTAACTGTGGACCATTTTCCTGACTAATTAAATTCTATATTAAATGCACTAAACTTTTTATCTTCTTATTTTGAATTACTCATTTTTAAATTTGTTTTTGTAGAAAGCATTTAGCAACTCACGTTCAGTGAAGCACATCAATACAATTGCAATTTTTTAAATTTATACATCAAAGACTTGGTCAATTTCAAGGATACTGAATGAAATAACATGAGTCACAGCTTAAATCAACTATAGATGTAACCATTGGTCACATCTTGGAATATTAATGAGGGATTTCACAAAAATGTAAATGTACATAGTGAAAGCTTTTGGAATTCATCTGTGACAGTGTATGTGTTTATTGGAAATACATTTTATTCATAAGACAATAAACAAGTACATTGTAAAGGATCCATCCTTTGCAATGGTTCAAAATGAATTAAAACCACTTGCCGAGCTAATATTTTCTTGATTCTTCTTTACTCTTTCCATTTCAGGAGTTACACTTAAAGCTGTAGCCTTTCCCAGTTGACCTTTATAATAAACCTACCATTTCAGAGAAGAAAAATAGAAGATTGTGAATCGGTTTAACAAAAAAACAATCACGTCATATTTAATTTTAAAGGGCTAGCCAAAGCCTGGAACTCATTAAAACAAAGGAGAAAAGGAGGAGAGGGCAGAGGAAGGGACGTGAAATGCTTTCATCTTGGAGCATCTATTTCATTTTGGCATAGCAATGTACCTCTTCTCAATCACTGTGGATAGGCTCAACAAGATCACCAGTAAGCCTAGAGTGAGCCTTTAATCACAGATGGGTATGAGAAGAGATGCTTTGTGGATATTACAAGTCTTGTTTGAATAGAATGGTATTGCATAGCTGTGTTTTCTCAGAAATTATCTACAACAGAACCCTGAAAGGATATATTTCACAGGGTACCATTGAAAACCATGGAAAGATATCAGTCCATTCCTTCTTTTCAGTAACCACATCCCTTCTTTATAATAGTAGAATCCCATCAAGTATGGCTGTGAAAAAATGAGCATCTACTCCTCCAAAAGAAAAACCTTAGAAAAATAGCAAATGATAACCTGCCTTTGACTCATAAACTAGTCAAACGGCTTTATGAGTTTGAGGCATAAAGGATGTCTTTGAAGATTAATAGATTTCTGAGTTTTTTCTTCCAAGGAGCCCACTCTGTATGTTAATGACTTCCTAAAAGGGTGCTCTCAGTGAACTGTGGGTGGGTTATATAAACAGAGGGATCCAGAGAAGTCCATGAGTCTAAGTAAAATGCTGCGTTGGGCCAAATGCCTATTAACTGGTCCATTTAACATGTTACATCCAGTCAACCACACATACTTCACCATTTTCCGCTAGAAACATAGTAGTAATCATCACAAGTGAGAGAAATGGCCAGGAGGGGCCTGACAAACAAGAACTCAGACAGGTAGGAAACAGAGCAAGCTAAACTGCCAGAAACTACCCCAGCCTTCCATAGTCAACCACAGCAGTCACCAGCATGAAAATACAATGAGGAGGGTATGCCACAAATTACAGGATAGTCATCATAATACAGTCCTGCAGACTGCAGCACCTACTGCCCTGACACTGTACTCCGTAGAAGCTGCCAGGCAGCTGAGACTATCAACTCAGATATGAAATCCCTCTAGTACAGTGGTTCTCAACCTGCCTAATGCTGCGACCCTTTAGTAGAGCTTCTCATGTTATGGTGACCCCCACACATAAAATTATTTCTGTTGCTACTTTATAACTGTAGTTTTGCTATTGCTATGAATTATAATATAAATATCTGATATGTAAGATGTCCAATATGTGAACTCTGTGGGGTTTGCAGACTACAGGATAAGAACTGCTGCCCTGATAAAATTCCCATGTGCAAATTGTTACATTTGATATCATTAAATACAAATGATAAATACTGAAATGTTCACACATTACTGATATTCTTCTGGTTTTCTTTCACTCTCTTCAACTCTGGTAGATCCGAAATGGAAGTTGCCTGTTTTAGTTCTCCTTTGTATTTGACCTATAGAGGAGATATAAGAATTTTAATAAATAATAGAAAGGGCTCCAAGTGACTCCAACAAGACCTGGAGCTCAAATCTACTCTTGCTTTTTACACAGTGGTCGTCTCCTGTTGACTGAACTCAACTGATCAAGAAGTGTTAATGATGATTCTTAAAAGCAGTCTGTTTCATGTCTTAGCTAACTACAAATTCTGCAAAGAAAAGCAATGGAGATAAGAGAAGATCCTTTAAAAGACACATGAGAATGATACCACTACAATAAACCAGAATCAAGGCCCCTTGGTGGGCTGGGAAATTGCTTTAGTCTGCTGCTGGCCCCCTAGTTTCCACCACTAAAATATCTCTGACTTCTTCATCCACCTTCAGAGGTATTAAAGATACACTACATTAGCCTCCACCTGAGAGAACGTTCTCTTACATTTTAAAGTCTTTCAAAATGCTAGTCTTGCAAGAAAGAGGCTATCCTTGATATTGAGGAAAGTTAAAAGAAAGGAAGGGTTGAAAAAAGGTAATTATTTGGGCTTACCCTAAATAGATTTCTAAATTCCAGGAGACTTGAGTTCAAGCTCCAGGTCTGCCCTAACTTGCCATGGATTCTTGGCTTAGTCTCTGACTCCTTGAAATTTAGTTTTCCACATTCACCAGTCAAAGAAATGAATAATGCTGAACTCAGGCATTCACATGTGATATTAAAAGGGGGGCTGGCTTAGAGCAGAGGTCCCTCTTGGTTGTTAACTAGGACTGATTTACTACAATGGATTATTAAATGACTGGCTGATGCCTTCCATTTCATTTATAAGGAGCATTGTCTTGGTACTGCATCATAGAAAGCCTGTCAAGGCACGTCTTCTCTTGCCCTATCTCTAACATTGCTTTCCCCTCCAAACCATAAATCTGTCTATTTCCAAGCTTCTTACAGAGATGCATTTTTAGAGATTTAATCACAAACTAAAAGTTTCTCAAAGTAAAGATGTGGCTCTTATGGATCTTTGTGCCCCAATGACCAGAACAACCCCTGGGATGCTTCATGAAGACCACTTGAGTAAGAAAGCATGATGCAAACTTCTTGACTCACACAAGGATCATACTTCATTCCCTTTATTGTGTGAATGTGTAAAAGCTTGTCCAATGTATAGATGGCCCACTGATTCACAAAGTCACCTTTTAAAAAGAAAAATACATCGTGTTAGATTAAAATATGAAAGAAAACAGAATGACTTGCCGCACTCAGCTGCTCCTGGTTCCTCCTAACTCTCTCTATCTCTGGGGTCATGGTTACTGGTGTGGCCTTATAGTTTTGGTCTTTATACTGGAGCTGTGGAACAAAGTATAAGACAGTTTGGAATCATGGGAAATAAATGTGTACCACTAGAACATATTAAAGGAAATGTTACATGCCACTGATCATTACTATTTTATCGTTTCCCCATGATACCAATATTCACTTTAAATTACTTAAAATATTTTTCATACGATGGATTTTTATCATATTCTTCCCCTCCTCTAATGCCTCCCAAATATTCCCCACCTCCCTACCTACCCAACTTCATGTCATTTTCCATCAAAAATCAAACAAAGAAACAAAAAAGCAGTAAAACTAAAAATGCCAAAACAAAATAAAACAAATGCACACAAAACAAACAAGCAAACAAAAAACAACAACAAACATGGAATCTGTCATGTTGACCAGTTACTTATGGTCACAGAATCTGGCCTAGAATGTGCTTGATACTCCATTAGACAAAGCTGATTTTCTCTTTCTCAGCAAGTGTCTATAGGATACAGCTGCTTGGGTCAGGGTAGGGCTTTGTGTCCACTTCTTACAGATGTCATATCCTTGAGTCCCTAGTCCTCAACCTTTTGTTTGTCAAATGTTCGAATTTGGTTGCTAATTTTTACACTATATAATTTATTGGTGACTAATTATTCGATCTCATCAATAATGAGGAATCATCTGTTCTGTGAGTTCACCAGTTCTTGACATTAAAACAATGTTTACTAAACTGCCAACTTATGTTTAAAATGACTTATTATCATCATCATTTAATAACAAGTCACATCAAATGTAAAGTAGACTCTTGCCATCACTCAAAGCATTGAGAGCAAAGATGACAAAAATCCTACGCCAATCCTTCAGGGGCATACTGCCTCTACTAACATTCCTCACAGGGACCTCGTTTCCCCCTTGCCCAAGTACTAGTGTTGGAAGGCCTGACACTGAACCTAATACTATAGGAAATGACCTGGCCTACTGCGAAGAGATCTTCTTTCTTAAATGAAGGCAGAAAAGGGGGGCGACTGCACTATTCACAGTCAACTGTGCCAACAATTCCACATCTTGAGAAATAAAGGAGTGTCAAACACAGAGCTGAGAGCTCTGACAGCTAAGGTACAGCTGCAAGAGAAAATCTTTTTTTCAAGGACCTATACAGTGACAGTGAGTGCATTTTCAGAGTTTAAATTCAGCCTTAGGGCTTACATAGACCTTGCTCTTGAAATGCAAGCTCTTATGAGTGAACATGAAAATGAAGAAAAATTTGAGAATCCTGAAAAATAAATGGAAAAAGATGGATTTCTTCCAATGAACCTTCTCCTTAAGTAGTGACATTCATTTTACTGTAGCATGTAATAGTTTAGACAAGTTCTCGGGATGGGTATGATAGAGTTACAATGAGAAATGTTTCATGTAATCTTTATTGGTGAAAATATCATTCATGTTAGAGCTTGAACTAAAGATTTGTGGAGCTGTATTGCTGACAGGGAGAAACTACAATTGCCAGTTCATGAAAACCCAGACATCAATTGAATGGAAGACTCTTGTCCTGATTCTCCTATTCATCAATTTGACATGTGCTTTAAAGGTAATATCTCTTTAATACTCTAATATCTGTTTTTAGGAAAGGAAAATTTATAGATAGCAGTCTATGAAGAGTATATAACAAAGTCCAGAGCTGGAACCAAATCTATCAGTTTTCTAGTGTCCATGGTCTTCTCTACCAGTGTTAACTAAACAACCTGGATTCTGCCACTGGCATGCATGACACACTATGTAAATTCTATAACATCTATGCTATTTTTTTTCAAATAGCATATTTTTTTTCAAATCAAGTTAAGGGAGTTTTGTTGTGGAATATCAGTTTAAGATGTGCTACATTTGTTTATGCTATGGAACATTTGTTTAATGATGCAAAATGCGTTGCATTCTTTTATGTTGCTTTTGTTTAACTCTGTGAAACTATGTTGCTTTGCCTGTCTGAAACACCCGATTGGTCTAATAAAAAGCTGAATGTCCAATAGCTAGGCAGGAGAGACAGAACAGGCAGGGCTGGAAGACAGAGAAAATAAATAGGAGAGGAAAAGATAAGATCAAGGAGTGAGAAGAAGAGAAGGAAAGAGAATACCAGGATCCAGCCACCCAGCTACACAGCAAGCCACAGAGTAAGAAGTAAAGACAGGCATGCAGAATAGAGAAATATAAAAGCCCAGAAGCAAAAGGTAGATGGGGCAATTTAAGTTAGGAAGGGCTAGCTAGAAATATTCCAAGTTAAGGCTGGGCATTCATAAGACAGAATAAGACTCCATGTATTTATTTGGGAGCTGGGTGTCAGTCCCCCAAAGAGCCAAAAGAGTAAAAACAACCAACTACAGAGTATTGTTTCTATCACTAATAAAAGACTAACAACCCTTTTTTGGAAGAAGGAGGAGGAAGAGGAGAAGTAATTGTGAGTAAAACAACTTAATCACTAAATCAAAGACTGAGCAATACTGGAACTGTTAACATTTCCTTGAATGATCTATGAGCCACACTATAGGGACTCTCCATAATACTGTCTTATGCTTGGTATTGCAACTCCTGCCCCACCCTCACCTCCTGCCACCCTTCATCCTGAGTACTCATCACTTAGGTCCTCTCCCCCCTTGAATAGGCTTAGGTCCTGAAAATACCAATTTTCCCTACCAGGAAGACCCTTCTTCATAAAAGCAGCCTGAAATCATTCTTGAGTCTCTAAGATAAGACTCCAGTATTGGTCCTTCTCCAAGACTGACCCCCCACCCCGCCCTGTCGCCCCCCCATGACATACTATTCCTCCTCCACATTTCCAGAACACTTTGCAATTATTGCTTATGGCTTAAAAAGATAGTACTTGTTAGATATTCAAAACATAGTAATTAGTCAACAAATACAAATCACTGTGACAGTATGTAAGACAATGCATAATAGTAATTCATGCCTAGAGGCCTTAAGACTACCCACAGCCCATTATAGTCTGTCTCACTCACTGAATTCCCCCCTAGAGCACAAACAGACCTTCAGTAAAAGATGCCCAAGAAGCACATAATAGAGGACACAAAGCTGTATGGAATGTTATCTCCACTTCCAAGGAATGACCCCACACAGTGGCATTCATTGTAACAAGATTTCACCTGTGCAGGTGCTGTGCCTCCCATCATGTATGGTATTTCAATAACACAGAAAAAACACTTAAGGAAATATGATCATGTTGCTGTTCTTCTGGTTTTCTTTTAGCTCTCTTTAGCTTGGGAGGATCTGAAATGCTTGTTGCATGTTTAATTCCTTTTTGTATTTCACCTGAATAATTTATTTTAAAATATAGTTAATTTACTCTACCCAAAGCTTAAAATAGTTAAGAATTCTTCAATTGTCACTGCTGTATAATTGATTTTTGTGCCAATATTATATTCCCTTTAGTAGGAAACAGCTTCTTATTTTCTCATGCTTTCTGGGTTCTTTATCCTAAAATACAAATAAATTCATATCTATCCATCACTATATGCATCCTTCAGTTAATATAAATGAACATTGCTTATAACCAGAAGCTTTATAATTAAGCATATATACAACATGCCTTTGAAATTATCTTAATATAATGTTGTATTATTTTCTATCTGAGAAGCAGTTCTATTTATTAATGTGTTTATTAGAACTTAACATGTATTTAAAGGTAAAAATCAAATTGAATTATCCTGAGTCTTGCAAATATTGATATCTGACTGGGAGCAAACAGGTAATCAAATAGAACATTGTCCTGGGAGTCTGGGAAACCTTTACACACGGGCAGTAACTGGTTCAGCTGGGGTTTGCAGACTAGAATTACCAGCACCCTGGTTCTGGTTTCCTGGTGAAGCGCTGAGATATATGCAGGCTCCACACTCCCTTGCCACTAAGTAACCCACAGTCAAGTATTCCCCACCATGATGGACTGTCATCCCTAAAACCAGGAGCCAAAATGATCTGTCCTCCTTTATGTGGATTCTTGTCAGTTGTTTGATCACACCATGGGAAGAAGTCACTAACGAACCCTGTAACCTGACATTCATTCCATCCATGAATTTCCCCTTAAGGTAGATCTACTTAGAGGAAAATCAACTGGAAATATGATAATACATGGAGTAAGGTCTTCCCTTTTAGGTGGCATTTTATAACTAAAACTCACAGAAGAATAGACACTAGGCAAAGAGAACCTACCTATGTAAGAACAGGAAGTGCAAACTTAAATTTAACAAAGATATAAATCTACACCAAATGAGTTTGAGAAATCACTTGATAATATTTAAAGCTGATGTCTAGGCTGGCATAGACCACTAGTCCCTCAAAGTCTCAGGTATCGCCCATCTTAATATATCTGTGGATTTAGATGAGTAAAGAGGCCAGTCTCAACACAGACCTAAAATAGTTAAGTGGAAAGTTCATGGAGACAGGTTTCCTCTAATGAAATTCAAAAACAGATCTTAGCACAGAAAACTAATAGCAAAAAGGCTTGCCCTCAGAGGTGGAAAATGTCGTGATGTTGAAATGTTAGTGAACCACCTCCTGGTTTGACAGATCGGGCTGATCTTGAAAGGCCAAGTTTCCATTTGAATATTAAGTAGAGGGTTAAGGCCCAACCTCAGAGACACAGAACTGTGCATTTACTGTTTGACAGAAAAGACTGGAGGAGAAAAGATAACATACTGCACTGTTTTGTATGGTTTTCTTAGGGTGAAAAGCCCAACAAAATTAAAATTGAACATTTTTGTTTTTCAAGACTCTAAATGAAAATAGCACAATCATTTCCCTGTAGGGGAATGACAAGACATCATACACACTATAGAACATTTGTAGCTGATGACATTGGTGGGTGCATTTCAGACATTGGCATTGCCAAGTGAAGGGATGTAATATTTTACTTATCTTCCCCCAAACTAACCTCTCTGCCAGACTCAAGGGGAGCATGATTCAGATTCCCACTGAACAGAACAAAATGTCATTCACTCTAATCCAGGTCTCCACCTCCAGGTCCTCTCTCTAGCTGGCATCCTCAGGACAGGACTTCCTTCGTGGCACAAATATTTGAGTGCACTAGCACTCTGAACAATTTTTATAATTTTTTTATTAAAGTACACATCATATTCCCCCTCCTGGAATTCCTTTTCCAACATAGGCCACCACACCCAGTCACGTGCTCAGGATACCACCTAACTCTGGGTTAGCCCTGATGCATGTCCTGAAAGCAGTCTATTTGGACAGCACAAGGAAAGTTCTGGAAAGTTGTGTCTCCAAAACTAGAGGTGAAGAGATGGTTCGGGGGATGAATGTTAAGGAAAGAATCATTTCTCACACCCATGAAATGCACACAGATGAACACCCTCCCTCCTGGAAGGACAAAGGTTATCTGTTGCTCATGCCAAGCAGTAAATGGGAGAAATTTCTCCTACAGCATTAAACACCTCTCTTGCCATTCCCCAGAATCAAAAGCATAATAGGGCAAGATCTCCTTATACTTTATACTCAACAGATATATTTTTCTTTGCTGAGAAAGTAGAAGGGAAATGCAGCCAGAAAAATAGAAATATGGGCACAGAACTGTGTTTTAAAAGGCTCAGATATGTGATTGACACAGGACAAAAATGAGTTGGTGCTACATTAAAAACCAAATCTATACCACTTCAGTTATCAAATAAACAGTGAGACCTTTGATCATTTTGCTGGGGTACAATTCCTTTGGGAAAATATTCAAGGTATCCGTTCTCTATAAAATTTAACACAGCTAAAATTCTGTCCAAAAGGTTAAATGTAATCCTAGATTTTTATTAAAACGACCCATGTCTTCTTTTCTTTGTTCTAAATGAAATGAAATGGAGCTTGAGGCTGAAGGGGAACAAAGGGGCAGTTTTCATTCTGGAAGTTAGACCTTTGATGGTTGATGACACCATCTTTCAGGAAAGTGAAGAATAAAAGACAAAAAGTGACCGTCTGAGGAAAGAAATAAGAACACCCATGTAACCCCTGTTTCTGCGAAAGGACAATTAGTGCTGTGCAGAACTTACTGAACTGATATTGTGCTGGGTTTTCTTCACTCGTTCAATCTCTGGAGTGTTACTTAGGGCTGTACCAGCTCTTACTCCTTCTTTGTAAGACACCTTCATAGCAGGAAAAGGAAAATAAGAACTGTAAGGTTATTAGAATTCAAGTCCTGGATCTGCCTGTTACAAAGCAAGACTATTTCTCAGGTTTTACAGTAGAGTAAATACTAGTTTCATTTATGACAGCAATATTACATGAATCAAGGAAATAGTCTATTATAATAATAAATACCGACTTTGGTATCCAATCTCATAAACTCTTAGTCCAGTTAATACTTGTTCTAAAGTATGATGAGCATCTTAGCTGGGGCAGAATATTTGCCCAGTTAATACTTGTTCTGAGGCATGATGAGTAGCTTAGCTGGGGCAGGTAATTTGCCCAGTTAATATTTGTTCTAAGGTATGATGAGTACCCTATCAGGGGGCAGATTATTTGCTCTAAGAATATAAATTGGCAATCTGCAATTTCCTGCTTCAAATATAAATATATGGTAGGACATCCAAGGCTATATATAGAAACCCTGTCTCAAAAAAGCAAAATATATGTGGACAGATGTAGATATAGACGATATAGGTATATGGAATATATGTGTTTGAGAAAAAGCATATGTTAGAGAAATTCATTCAGCAGTTAGCATCTAACCCCAAAAGAAGGAAGGTTTCACACCACTGCTAATCTTCCAAATACAGAAGTCCCCTCACTGTGTCCTAAGAAAACATTCCATCAACATTATCAGCCTTGACTCTTGTATTTTCCTCACCTTCCTCTTTGTTGAGTTATCTCTCTACCCCGGACATCTACTTCTACCCCTTTCAAACACAAAGCAAAACAACACAGTTCTCTACAGGAAAACAGTGGCCCTAGAAAGTCACATAAAGACAGAATGGTCCCCACCACCAACACTGGCTAGTTCAATGGGCACCTAGGAGACTGAAGAGTGATGTAAGAACTCAATTGAAAGAGATGAAAATTGGGAACATCATAGATCACAGGAGTCAGGAGCAGCCTTTTCTCTGACCCTTCCAGTGGGAACTGCCCATCTCTTGGCACAGCCTGACGCTTCTTAGGCAGATCCCAGTCGTACCAGTCTGCCTGTCCTGAGAGTGAGAGTCAGCCAATTAAGTAGGAAGCAGAGAGTGCTCCAGAGGTCCTCAAACACAGTGGCATTTGCCTTTTTGATGTGCTTAAGTACTAAATGACTGGGCCAATTCTACATTACCATATTTGACTGTGTGGTTCATTAGATCACTCCATCACAAAATTCAAGTTTATACATTTATCAATTAGCAGAGGCCTACTTTCTTAACAGTACACAGACAAGTCCTGTTACTCAAAAAGAAAACAGGGAAGTTTACGAGTCGGTTTTAAATTAGTCAATCTCTAGGTGTGTTGTCCAGACAAACTCAGTGACAATCAGGAGGAGATTCCCATCATATGTTTACTTTCACCTTTACAGTAAAATTAGTGTGGAAGATTAAGACTTTTCCTGACCTAGAATCCAGTCAACACCTGTCATTTGTACCTAATACAAAATTTGGGTTTGAAATTCCAAAACAATTGGAATTTATGAGAATATTTTTTACTTTGAAGAAATAAATTCATGTAATGAAAAATACAAGTAATAAAAGAAAAAATCAGATAATTAGAAAAAAGGCATCCTTTAAAAATTTTAACATTTTGGGGTGTTGTTGGGATCTATTTCTTTAGTAGAATATTTACCTAACCTGAACAAGAACCTAGATATAATCCCAGAGCTACAAGAATTAACAAACAAACATATTATTTCAACTGTGAAAAAAATACAAATCAGACATCCCAAACCAAAGTATCTGAAATGAAAACTTTCTGACAGCCCCCAGTGGAAAACTCCACACCCAACTCCTGTGATGTTTCAGTCATAGCACAAATGCACTAAAAATAACACATGGAATTATCTCAGGCTGTGCGAACAAAGGGTCCATGAAGCACAAGTGACTTTTATGTTTAGACATACTTCTCATCCCTACTATAATTTATGATACACATGCAAATATTCCAAAATCTGAAATAGGCCTAGCCCCAAGCTCTGCATATAGCAATTACTCACATTGCTAATGTTTTGTTGTGTTATCTTGATTCTCTGAATTTCCGGAGTATCTACCACAGTGGAATAGTTGGAAAGCATTTTCTCAGCTTCATCTTTATACTTTTTCTAAAAATGCAAAATTATTATAAATTGAAATCTCTATGTGGACAGAGGAGGGGATATGGTGCTCCCTCCAACTCTGTCACACCACCTGGCTGTAACTTACAATTTAAGGTTCAAAGCAGCTGTTGTTACTACCATTAATCAAGGGTGTGAGCAAACCGTAGTCATAGCAACCCCACTTCTATGCAGGCTATCATACGCCCAGACCATTCAGAAACCTCAAAAAGATAGACTTCTATGTCTTTTCTAAACTTGGGATTTCCTCTCCTATGTGTGAGCAAACTCAGTCTCCTCCACAGTATCTCCAGCACTTCTGCAGTGGCCCAACTTCCTACATCTACCTTGTTACAAGCTTCTGGATTAATGAGTCCTTTGCTGCTTTTGCTAAAGATCTGTGGCTAAGGAAAACATGCTATGATTTTTGTAGTTTATGCTGTTAAACATCTCAAGTTCCTTTCCAGTAAATGAGTTACAAAGACTTCCTTTAATAAAACCTGGGTTTATCCTTCATACCAGAACACATAATGTTACGATGTAATTGACATCGTTTCAATACTGAACCCACACTCACTTATTCAGTCAATCCCACAAAGAGGTGTCACTGTCAGTCTGGGAAACTGAGGTACCAGGTACCAGCTAGCAAGCATGGGAAGTGAGACTCAACTCAGGCACTCCAGTTTGTGTATTAACCATATGGTGTAGAGCCCCTTACTAAGCAAAGTTAAGTGTTTCAATGGAGCTGTCATCGTACCCTTCCTCACTGACTCATGCGTTCATTTGCCTGCCCCATGTCCTTGCCTAAGATTTGCACTCAGTTCATGTAGTTACAGCCAGTGTCTCCAAGTTCATTGCCTTCATGTGGCATGAGGAACAAGGGACAGAACCTGTGACTTTAGGACTATCCCAACTGCTGCACAGGCCTAGGTAGATGACTGAGGATTAGACAGGTACTCCCACATTTCTACTCTACCTCCATACTCTCACCTGAAGCAGTTGATATGGACACTGCTTTGCTTTGACCAGAATTTGAACAAATGTGCCCAATTGGGGTAAAAACTACTTTCATCATAATGTTCATTAGTCAAGTTTAACTCCATGCTTCTAGAACAATGTCATGTTTTTCATTCTCCTCTATTACTTTTTCCACTGGGATATACTTTTCAGGTATAGCAAAGATATGATTAAATAATGCATATTTTTAATCCAAATCAGATTTTATAAGCAACGTGTTCTTCTATATATAGTTTCTTTTGAGATATTATCTTTCTCACTTTTAGGTTTTTTTAAAAAAAAAGAAGTATATGTCTTTCATTTCCCATTATCACCCACTGGGTTCCTCTTCCCCCTTCCCATCAGTGCCTTCCTCTACACACCGCCTCCCTTCAGTCTCCACCCCTGTGTGCACGTGTGCCTGCGTGCCTGCGTGCCTGTGTGTGCGTGTGTGTGTGTGTGTGTGTGTGTGTGTGTGTGTGTGTGTGTGTGTACTTAAATCCAGGTTCTTTGTATGAGAGAAAGCATGTAATATTCATCCTTCTGAGAATATTATTGCCCTTATTTACACCCAGGCTTTTCTTTTATTTTATTGAAGGCTATATGAGTTGAGAAATGGAAATAAAATATTTGTATTATGTTTCTGTTGTATGAACAAAGAATATTCAAGGCAAGTATATAATAGAGTTAGAAATTAAAATAACTTCAAAATGTTCTCAACCTCAATAAAGGGGGCCCATTGGAACTTTGGAACTTCATAATGGCTCCTATGTTGGATTTGTAGCCACTGACTTCCAGTTAGTAATGTTAGTCAAGTTTTGTAGGGAGGATCTTAATAAAAGTGCTCTAACTTTGAAGGCAATATGTCCAGGAATATGTCAATCAAAAAGACTCACTCACAGTGACAGAATTAGCATGTATTAGTGCAATCGTCTTCATCTTCTACCAACCTGGCTGTAGATTTCAGATGCCCTCTTGGCTCGAAGCATATCAGGGATATCCATATTCACCTGCATTCCTTTTCCCTTAATTTCATTCTCTAAGTCTTTCCTGTATAGCTTCTAAAAGAACAGAAAATATCTCAGCTCTTTGCTTAACTTTGTAGGACCATGCTGCTTTTTTGTGTGTTTTAACAGAAAAGTGACATTTACTGTCCTCCAGGACCATCAAGCGAGACTTTGTGTGCACACCATCCTTACCTGGCTGGCCATCTCGGATGCCCTCTTAGCTCTCTGAACATCCAGAGTATCTGCACTGACCTGCATTCCTTTCCCTTTAATTTCTGTCTCCAGGTCTCTTTTATAGTCCTTCTGTAGAAAAGAAAACACACAGTGCTCTGCAATCACTTCAAAATGGTGCTGACAAAAGCATGATGTCATTTTGACATCATGTCTACATGTTCTGGAATTGGGTTAGACTCTATTCTTTTATTTATATGTAACGAGATAGAAGTATAATGTGCAGTAACATATTCATACATAATCAGGAGGCTCTGTCTACCAAACTGCATTAAGAAAAAGTACAGGAATAGATTAAGGAAACTTCTATATTCCAATGATGAACTTGAAAATTTATTGGTAACTATATAATTCAGTTGATGACTATCAACGAAGTTACTATGAAATTGTTGTTATTCTTGATTATTGCAACTTACTATACTTCCATTCTACACCCCTGGGTTTATATAATATTGGCCCAAGTCTCTGGACCTTATGGGACTTAAATAAATCATTCTACCCCATCCTTGGTTCGATGTGGTTGGTTCAGGGATAGGTGCACTCACTTCCTTTACCATGAAGTAGCTCAGAAGACCCTTTCTTTTTCTTCCTGGATATGAATGACGACAGATTCACCCTGTCAGGAAGAGAACTGAACCATACCACCCTTAAGCAATGCATAACCTTTCCAAATGACCAGGCATATTCTTAAAAAGGTGTCACTAAGCAACTTCATTGCAGAAATAAAACACCTCCAAATTTGGAAGCTTTAAAACAGCAAAGGATAACTAACAGCTTCATTCCAGGAGAACAAACCTAAACACACACAAGAACACCTGTCCGAGTACAGTTTGCTGATGTCTCATGGACTATAGAAAGCCTACAGAAATGGTACAAGCTTGACTGTTGGAGGACACTATATATCACACTGACACTATTTTTAAGCTCCACTTTGGATATTAAAAATCAAACTTTATTAAAAATCCCAAACTTTATTTGCAAAGGATTTGAGGGCCCGTCAATTTGGCAATATGGAACATGAATAACTAAGAGTACAATGATAACAGCATCTCAGCATCTCCAAAATCTCCTTGGGCCATGTGGAGCATAGCTGACTCCCCTTAGCCTATTTCCTCCTCAGCTGTCAATAAATAAATTCATACTACTATCCTAGCACATTTTACAAAAGAGAGAGATAAATCTCAACCAGTATACAGAAATGAGATATTAAAAACCCAGCCTACTGATCTGAACAGGGGAGAGCTCTTGGACCCCAGACCGACAGCTGGGAGGCCAGCTGGGACTGATCCAGACCCCCCGAATGTGAGAGTCAGTGAGGAGGCGTGGGCAACCTATGGGGCCCTGAGCAGTGGATCAGTGTTTATCCCTGGAATACAAACAGACATCGTGTGTCCATAACATAAAGAGGGATGCTCTCTCAGCCTGGACTCTTAGAGGAGTGCCTGGACCCTACCCTGAGTGAAATGACAGACTCTAGATATCCCCTATGTAGATGGAATTGACAATAGAGTGGGAGGCTGGGGAGGGGGGATGGTAGGGGAGGTGCAGAAGGAGGGGAGGGAGAGGGAACTGGGATTGACATGTAAAACAAGCTTTTTAAAATTAAAATAATAAAAAAACTCAGCCTACTAAAAATTGGGCTTATATGTCTCAGAAATCCTGCTACTAGGCAGAAGGTGAAATTCCATACGCCTTGCTCAGAGGGATGCTTTCAGTTGGCTTGAACAGTCATTTCAATGATAATAATTTCAAAGGTTCTTTTTTCTAGGCCTGAATCTCCACCCTCTTGCAATATGCTCTAATCTGCTAAATTGACTTATACTGGATGTAGCCTCTAAATAAGAATAAGAAAAATTCATATAAGTATGGCTGTTGTGTGATTTTTTAAAATGCACATTAAGCGAGCAAGAATTGATGCAGAATCTGGGCTAAGAATTCACTGCAACTGTTGAAACCATGCTATGTCCTACTCCAAACCACTCCATAATGTAATACTGGCTTTTCAGGCTCTGTCTTGCCCTCATATTCCATTATAGAAACCTCTGACTACATTTTGACTGTGGCTCCTGGGTGAACCCCAAGACACACCATCTATCAGAAATCACTCATCTAGCACACACTGATTAATGTCTCATTCCTGGGACTAGAAAGGGAGCCAGCCTACAAGTTCATTAGGGAGAATTCAAATTGGAGGCACATGTGTGGGTTAAAACTATACCAGGAAAACTCAAACATTTATGGGGCACACCAGATTGAGCAAGACTGTACTGCTCTCACCAGGCCCTCATAACTGATGGCTACCTAACACTGTGGCGGAATGGCCCATGCAAGCCTAGAATTTCATACCTGCATTGTGTCAAGGATCAAGGGTCAAGGATTAAGGATTCCCTGACCTGGTTCAGTCCCCCGCTGTTTGACACAGGTACCCAACTGCTTACCCAACTACCTGTTCACCCCATCTGGACCTGGACTTGATCAGGTCTGTTCCCTGAACTTCATCTGTACCCTGCTCCTGAACATTTTCCATTCAGGACCCAGGTTTGCCTTTATACCTCTGGTCTCTGCAGTTTCACTGTCAAATCTGATTTCAGCTCCACCAGCAGCTCCTCCAGCAGCTCCTTCTCTATACAGATCCAGTTCATTTTTTATCTACACAGACTCTTAGATCACTTCTAAAACCCTTACACTCTGAATTCTTCTGCAGCTTCTTACACTTGATTCTATTCTGTAACAGAGACTTGTCTGGTACCATTTGAAGAGGCAGAAGAGACAAGTAGAGGCAAGGGAGAAATTACGGGTTCTGGTTTTGGCATGTCATGTTGAGATCTTCTACACATGGACAACAGAAGTTTCCATGGCTTCCAATTCACATCCACACTATAAAATACATTAATTTTTCTTTTTTGTAATGTTTTCATTTAAATTAGAAACATGAATGCTTCACATGTCAATCCCAGCTCCCTCTCCCACCCCTCCTCCCTTATCCCTACACCAGTCCCCCAGCCCCCCCCCATCCAATCCCCACATCATTCCCCAGGGATGGTGAGACCCTCATTGGGGGGGATCTCTAAAGTCTGTCACTTCATCCAGGGCAGGACCTAGGCCCTTCCCCATGTGTCCAGGCTGAGAGAGCATCCCTCAATGTGGAATGGGCTCTCAACGATCATTCATAAACCATGGTAAACACTGATCTACTAACCAAGGCCCCAGTGATTTCTGTGGCCTACTCACTGAGACTATATTCATGGAGTCTGGATCAGTCCCCTGTTGGCCTCTCAGGCATCAGTCTGGGATTCAAGAGCTCCCCCTTATCTGGTCAGCTGTCTTTGTGGGTTTCACCATCACGGTATTGAACCCTTTGCTCATCACTCCTCTATCTCTGTCACTAGGTTCCAGGAGTTCAATTCAGTGTTTAGCTGTTGGTATCTGTCTCTTCTTCCATCAGTCAATGGATGAAGGTTCTAGGATGACATATAAGGTAGTCATCAACCTTACTATCAGGGAGGGGCTTATTAACTTAGTCTCTCCACTATTTCTTAGTTTGCCAGTTGGTGTTATCCTTGTAGATCTCTGGAGATCTCACTAGTGTCAGCTCTCTCCTCAAGCCAATAATGACTCGATCTATTATGGTATCTCTTATCCTGCTCTCTATTCTTACCTGACTCAATCTTCCTGCACCCCATACCTTCTTCTCCCCTCCTCTTATCCCCCTCTCTTTTTTCTAGCTCCCTCTCCCCTCCCCTGATATTCCCAATCTGCTCAGGAGATCTTGCCTCATTCCACTTCTCTGGAGTATCATGCATCTCTCTTGGGAACCTCCCTGTTTCTCAAACTCACTGGCACTAAGATTGTAGGCTGCCACTCCCCTGATCCATATCTAAAATCCATATATGAGTGAGTACATATCATGTTTGTCTTTTTGTGTCTGGGTTACCTCACTCAGAATGGTTTCCTCTAGTGCCATCCATTTGCCTGCAAATTTCAAGATTCCACTGTTTGTTTGATTTTTCGCTGAGTAGTACTCCATTGTATAAATGTACCACATTTTTTCTATCCACTCTTCAGTTGTGGAGCATCTAGGTTGCTTCCAGGATCTAGCTATTATATATAATGCTGCTACAAACATCGTGGAACAGACATCCTTGTTGTGTGAATGGGCGTCTTTTGGGTATATGCCTAAGAGTGGAATTTCTGGGTCTTGTGGTAGACTAAGTCCCATTATCCTGAGGAATCTCCATACTGATCTCCACAGTGGCTGTACGAGTTGGCACTTCCACCAGCAGTGGAGGAGTGTTCCCCTTTCTCCACATCCTCTCCAGCACAAACTGTCATTGGTGTTTTTGATTTTAGCCTTTCTGTCAAGAGTAAGATGATATCTCAGAGTTGCTTTGATTTGCATTTCCCTAATGGCTAATGATGTTGAACACTTTCTTAAGTGTCTCTGTGCCATTTTATACTCCTATATTGAGAATTCTCTATTTAGTTCAGTCTCCCACTTTTTAATTGGATCCTTTGGTGTTTTAGAGACTTGCTTAATGAGTTATTTGTAAATTTTGAAGATCAGCCCTCTGTCAGATGTGGGGTTAGTGAAGATCTTTTCCCAATCTGTAGGGTGTCTTTTTGTCTTGCTGAATGTGTCCTTTGCCTTACAGAAGCTTCTCAGTTTCAGGAGGTCCCATTTATTAATTGTCAATCTCAGTGTTTGTGCTACTGGTGTTATGTTCAGGAAGCACTCTCATGTACCAATTCATTCAAGGGCACCTCCCACTTTTTCTTCTAACAGGTTCAGTGTAGCTGGATTTATATTGAGGTCTTTCATCCATTTAGACTTAAGTTTTGTGCATGGTGATAGATATGGATCTATCTGCAGTCTTCTACATGCCAATATCCAGTTATGCCAGCACCATTTGTTGAAGATGCTATCTTTTTTCCATTGTATAATTTTAGCTTCTTTGTCGAAAACCAGGTGTTCATAGGTTTGTGGATTAATCTCAGGGCTTTTGATTCTATTCCATTGGTCTACCTGTCTATTTTTGTGCCAATACCAAGCTGTTTTCAGGACTATATCTTTA